TGTGAGTAGTTTAAACATAACTGTATTTAAAAGTCTTGTGATTTCACATGTCATTTGGAATGTTTACTGTGATATAAATCAGTACACATAAAAGAAAATTCATCTCCTTTTATAAGACTGTGTCAAAGACTTAAGGTCTGAGGCGAACGTGTCATTTTTTCCTGTTTATTTTGGGTGCGATCACAGTGACTCACAGTCACTTGAAACATAAAAAATACAGAAGTTGGAAGATTCCTGGATATTTATATACAGTATATAATTGGGCAAGGCAATTTAATTAGATTTTTCCTTATTACTATCTTGTGTAACTTATAATAATTAATACTTACATTTATATTTTTGATGAATTGAATTATGTCACCGTGTGATGGAATCAACTTGACACTTATTGGGTATTGTCTGTATCTGTCTGTTTCTGTTACCAAAGTGTAAGAGACTGGAGGAGGAGAGAGATAGAGCCGTCCAAGAACTCAGTGAGATTCAGCAAGGTAAGTTGACCCTTCCACCTGTCTCTTGTCCTAGCCTGTCCTCACCTGTCCTAGCACTTTCCTGTACTTCCTTTTCCTTCTCCCACCCTGGTTAGGAAGCCCGCTTTCCTAACTAGTGGTCCCCTTTCAAGAGTGCCTCTATGGAGGTTGTTTGTCCTCCTTGTGAAAAAGGCCTACATATTACAATATACATCTGTTTTTGTTTTTGATGTGCTGCTTGTTCACTGAATAGTAGGGATGTAATAATGCATCGTTAACCTGCGGGGAAAAAAAAACCCACAATCCAAATGCATGATAATTGACATCGACCAGTGTTTACAGTGTTTCTGTCTTTCCAGTTAATATTGTTTTTATATTCTTTTGCTGTTTGATGTATTGACAGTTAGTGAGGTAAATAAGCAGTTTTACTTTTAAAAAGAGATGATAAATGCTGAGGAGCAGTGTTTTTTTTTTTAATCATTCTGTTATTTAAGATAATCAGTTTATGATGTATATCAGACCATTTCAGTTGGTAATGGTATTTTCCATAGCTCTTACAAATAAAAGATCATTGCATTTGATCATTATTCATCTGAAGCTCATTCTGTTGGAAAAAATATTTTAAAAAAATAGTATCGTGAGCAAAAATAATAATAGGCTGAATGATTTTCTCAAGACTTTTTCAAGCCACATCTTAGCACTTTTGTTGTGGCCAATAATATTGAAATTATTATATCATCAGCAGCCCATAATATGGACATCTTAAAGCTATAACCACTGTATGAATGTCTATAAGGCAGACAAGAAATGGAAATTGGCTTTGGCGAAACATCAACATTCCATCTTCCATCCCTTTCTGTTTCCTAGAACATTCAAGCCTTCAGCTTTACAAATGATTTTTTTTTTTTTTTTTTGATGGTTGAAAGCTTTGCTATGACCATTTTGGAATTTAATACAGGGCACAGCATCACAGTGGAAAAAAAAGGAGAAGATTGTTTGTCTTTGTGGCAGTGACAGTTGTGTTGATTTTTCTTTAAATGAATCTGGCCTGTACTTGCGTATTCATGTTATTCTCCAGCCAAAACAAATATTGTGTTTGACTTCCATGTTAATAGAAGCTGCCTCACTGTGCCAAGCAGCTGCATATTAGGACCCATTACGTGATTTCATAGCTCTTAGAAAATTGCTCCTATTCAACACAAATCGGCTGGGGTTGGGGCGACATGGTTGGTTCGGGGGGTGCGTGGGGGGGGTGGTGGCAGCGGTAGGACAGGAGAAAAGGGCTACCAACACACAATCATGCCTTTTCAATTGCAAGTGGCAAGGTTGCTGACAACATGACCATTGTGTAGTAATGATAACACCACAAAGGCATCTGCCCCCCTCATCAAGGCTTCACAGCAACTGCAGATACAATTTAATTCACTGCTCCACTGGCAGCCCTGATACCATTATGCAACACGTCGGCACAGTGATAATCACTGTCTTTCCTGAGAGAAGGATGAAAAAGACAGACAAAAAAAAAAGAGGACAGGAAAAATAGAGTGATGATGGGGAGGATGAAACTTACAATTAGGAGTGCCAATTCGGATGAGTCGAAGCACCCTGTCGGCTCGTGCTCATACACGTTCCGCAGTTCCACCACTGTTTATTTACCATGGCTACCAGTAATTATAATTAACATGTCATTTAGTTCAAGGCGTCTTTCCGTAGGCTGTTGAGTGGTGGTCACAGCAATGTAGAGACAGGCAGAGTGGAAGGAAGTCAGGGATGAAGATGAAAACTGGCAGCTAAGTGTTATTCACTGACTGATGTTCAGGGCCCGACTGCAGGACTGGGTACATCAGCCAGCACTAGCAATCATCAGGTCTAATTAGACGTCATTGGTGGAACCGATCGCAGTGGCACTAATGCTGAATATCTCCCTTTCTCAGCTACAATGTTTAATTAATTAAGTGGCAAACCTTTGTTTAAAAATGCCCTTTCTGTTCTCAGATGTGATTGCAACTTAAACAACATTACAGGTTGTAATGTGAACATTTTTTTTTTTTTTTTTTTTTACATCTTTTTTTTCCACTACCTGTATTTAGTCATATTTCTTTCTAATCAAAATTGATTGTTTTTTTTTTTTTTAAATGTATCAAGTGAATCAACCCAGAATAATGTTTAGCTCATCTACAGCTCTCTTTGGTTCTTGGTAAAGATATTTAATTTGTGAAAATATTGCTTTACATAACTTAGGTAGGCAGCTCACATTGTCTTTATTGACATGACCTGATGTTTTTTGACCAAATATGAAGCAAACATAAATATAAATGATATAGCAAAAAAAAAAACAAAGTAACAATGCGTTTTCTTTCATATGTTATAAGAAAACAGCCAAACAAAGTAACAATGCTTTTTCTTTCATATGTTATAAGAAAACAGTCCACATCCATGGATTTTATTCACGCATTTAGTGGGCATGTAATAAGTCAAATGACGCAATGACAAAAGGGAACATGTGAAAATTTTCCTTTTCTCATTCTTATCCTCGTTTTTTGGCAATTTATTCGCTGGGTACTCCCGACAGCGACACATTAACTTTTGAACTACAAACAAAAAGAGATTTGAAATGCTACAGGGGTTTGGTGAAAACAAGACTTTTTCCTTTTCGTTGTCATTTATCTTGGGTGAAACATTATTCCGAAAAGGCCTGTGAACACCCTGATCTATTTATTCGTAGTTCTAAAGTTCTCTGTGTTTATATACAGTTCATGCTAAATAAAAGTAAGCCTTGGCTTAGGGGAATTGAAAATGTAGAGAAAATGTATCAGAATGAAAATAAACAAAAATAAACAGTAATGTACTTCGTACAGCGTCAAGTGTTCACAACACGCTCACCCTTAATTAACTGCTCTATCAGGTGAGAAGTTCCCAGTATGTAGCAGCTCCTTTAGAACACCTACGTACGTTTAATTCTTCCCTTAATGGTATTTCGATTAGGTTCGGTAGCCTTGAAGTGATTGTATACATTTCTGTTTATACAAATAAGTAAGCAACATTGTTGCTTACTTAATAGCATGGTATGCATGGCTAGATGTGCCAGAGAGCAAAGAAAGAAGATGATCATGGTCTAGGCTGAAGCTCAGCATCTTGTGACCGGTGAAAAGAGCTGTACTAGTTTGGTGGCATAGGTCAACTATTGTTGATTTTGTGATAAAAGCATCAAATGTGGTACAGTCATTGCTGAATAAATCTTAAATGAATCCTGATATTGGGCCATTGCAAATTTCTGATCTGAGGACAAGGTGTAGTCTGAGTGCGCTGCCTGTCCTACAGTTGCTGTTTAATGTTTGCAACGCCAACACAAACATACTGTCATTTATAGACATTTTAGAGAGGGAAAATAGCTTTATTACGATGTAACATGACAGGAACACGAGCTTTAAATACATTTCTTCTCCTTCACAGTACAACAACCTCCTCTTTGGCCTCATTTGCCAGATTATATAAATGGACTAATTCTTTCCACTATTTTCAATGCGAAAAAAAAAAAAAATGGAACTTGTACCTTGTACCTGGAATTAATGAGAAGTATGGTAAACTATCAAATTCTCCCTCATAGAAGCAGAGGCCTGTAAGATAAGACAAGACTTTATTCATCCCACACTGGGGAAATTCACTTGAAATTCACCTGTACACCAAATAGCAGGCTGCTTGCATCTGCAGTGCTTTCTGCACCCACTCATGCAAGATATCAGTGTTCACCTTGGAGCTAGTTTTGTCAAATACTTCTCAGTAATGTTTATTGCATCATCATCTGAAATGTCCATTGGTCCACTGGTCAGCATCAGTAATGCATCTCAGTTCTGCCAGTGACTTCCACGTCGATCCTGTTGTCAACCTTTCCGTATCCATCAAAGTTGGATACATTGTCAGTTTCTGTCAAAGCGCGGAACGTTGGAAGCGCTCATGAAGTCTTTGGACTGAGGGAGGCAGGCGTTTAGTCGGCTGCCGAGTAGAGAAAGCTCTTGCAAGTGCCACATGCTAGCCAAAATTCCAAAATTCAAAATTCTTGTATTATGTGACAAATGTAGTACCGTACAATTATCAGCTTCTTCTGCTGCATGGGACCAGGTTCCGGAGATGGAGATCTGGCAGAGTGCTGACCGACCCTAGTCCGTCGGTCACAACAACTGCCTTTTATTTCTTACAGAATACCTGGATAAGAACCTTCGACAGGAAACTGAATAGTTCTGTCTTGTCGCTGTCAACATGGAAAAAGTTCCGTTTCCTGGTATGCCAGCCTTCCACTAAAATTAAAATTTTCCAAGCGGGTTATCTGAGTCCATCGAAGCCCGGATCAGTAATCTTACACGGTGCTTTATTCCCTCATCCAAGTTAAGCCCAGATCAGTAATCTGACACGGTGCTTTATTCCCTCATCCAAGTAATCACGTACAGTCGCGACGAGTGCAGGGGATCCATTTTGCAACCCGCTGTCCATGGGTCTTTCTCAGATATATTGAAATACGTCCACACTTGCAGACATGTTGGCACTTATGACAAGTCATTTTAATGTTTAAACACTAAGCCGGATATGTATTGCAGATATCTCTTAACGCAGTTTTGCCAAGTCAAAAAGAACATTTTGGATATCCAACAAGCCTTTGCTGGCCGCGTTTTTTTTTTTTTTTCTTGCGTCATCATAACTTCCTGTTTCGGCCACGTTGTTTAAGAGATAAAAGTCAAATGCACTTTAGGGCCATTTTTTCCCCCAAAAATTTGGTGGATCCCTACTACCGTTTCATGCTTATGCTGTGTCTTTAGAGGAATCATTTTTGTATTACAAATGCTAATACTGCACAACTCCGTATATGTATGTACAAATGTATCAAAGGAGGCCTTCTGGTTTAATCAAATGGCAGCTTTATCAAGAGGCCTTTGGTCTCAGGTAGAGACAGATCTTCAAGAAATACTCTCCCTCCCCCCAGCGTTGCCACTGATATCTGTTCCAAGCTAACTAGCTAGCTTCAGTATTTAGTTTTACCAGCTTGAAAGGGTATTTTTTTCACCAAGGCTCATAATGATTATTTTTCTTGTTAGCTTTTATGCTTGTTAGCGCTGAAAATGATATTGCTGTGTTTTTACAACATTTTTTTTTCACCCAATAAGATTTAGCGGTATACAAACAAGAGCAAAATTACATAAGCATGTAGTTAGACACGAACAAAAACACGCCCCCACATGTTGTTCATTTGCTCCTAAAAATGTCTCCTCGCACATTTTTTTTTACGAACGTAAAAGTGTGTCTACCAATAACTGAACCAAAGGCTAAATGAGGAGCCATTTTGCTTCAATTTTATCCTCAGCATATTTTTTAAAATATTTTTATTAGTTTAATATTTAATATATACTGTATCTTCTTTTTCTAAGCCATACATTTCAAATGGGTACTATAGTTAAATAGAGCTCTGCTTAATTTATCTGGCATTTTGTCACTCACTGTTTGCTCTCTGCTAAAAATTCACTGAGGGTATGTTATTGGGAACAACAGATGGAGGGAAGATTCACATCGTCTTCAACATCCTGCCATCTATCAGTCTGTACCGTAGCCTAGTTGCTCCCAAACATTTCTAGAATGTCATTTTCTAGATAGGTTTATTGTTGAGCTTTTGTTTCAAAACTCACTGACAATTCCTCCAAAATGGCTATTCTCTTTGAACAAAGGAACCATAATTACAAATCAGTTTGCAGTTTCCCCCTCACTCTATGAAAGAATAAAAAAAAAAATTGAAATTGAAAACATCTTAAACTCTCTTCACAAAATGGCTAAAGGAAGAAGTTCCTTGGGAGAAAAAAAAAAAAAAATCAGAAACACGTTAACCTTCAACCACATCTTGTTAAAGGTTGTCGTAGTCTTGCTTGGTGCTTCAAGATCTCTGTAAATCAGTTGTGGGATTGACACTTTCAATTTCTTTTCTTGGCAACCCCTTCTTATGTCTCTATCCTTCACCCTGGCATAACCCCATGCCCTCCGTAATGAGAACCAATGCATAAACTTGACATTTTGTACATCAAGCTCTCGCTCTCTGTTGAGCCCACCCATACAAATGTCTCCTTTTTATTGACAAAATCCTACACAGGTAATCCCGAGCCTGCTACTTTGACTTTGATACTGCTATTTCTGCTGCAAATATTGTTACTTTTTGTCTCCCCATCTCACTTTTTCGTTGCTCATTTTTCTCTTTAATGCTCGCCTGTGCTTCGCCACGCGCAGCATCTTTCTGCTTGTTTTCCTCATTACCTTAGCTGTTGTTTTCCCCAGTGCTTTTGGTATTCACTAACTCAAAGAGCTTGCTAGCCCTCGCCGACATATCAAATCAGGCATGCCCAAATCACTGCTCTCGTTGTTGCTTTTGTGGACATCTTCTACCACCCACATCTCACTTCAACCTTCATCCAATTTTCAGCACTGCTCTTTTCGTAGATGTAGTTGTAAAATGGTTGCAGTGAAATAAGTGTTCCACTCGGTCTTAACGTTGGTAAAGAATCTAATCTCTTCCTTTGTCTTTCCCAGTGTCCCAGTTGGTCATCAAAGAAGTCAGTGCCATTCAGGAAGACCTGGAGATTGAGAGGACGTGTAGAGAAAGTGCCGAAGCCCTGGCCTCCAAGGTGCGGATCTTTTTTTTTTTTTTTTTTTTCTGATACAAAATAAAAGGATTTTCTTTCCCGCTAACATGCATGAATCCCGTCATATGAGCAGAAAAAGACACACTTAAGATAATTCCAAACTTTATTTATTTTAAAGATGCTGTTGAAATGTGCAGTCAAAACCGCTACAGCTGTTTGATTTGTTGTAGGATTTTGGGGCGGAGGGGGTAAATAAATGTGACAATTGATGTGTTTAAACAGGCCTCACACACTGACACATTCAATTTTTGTGTTGCACTCAGAACCACTTTGTGCTCCACGAATTCTGCTGCTGCTGCTGCTGCTGCTGCTGCTGTGTAAAATTGTATTGGAGTCTTTTGATTCCGAGCACACTTTTTTGTAGTCCTTGTCTAAATGTGACTTGTGATTGAGCCTGGGGGAGCCTGGCACATAGTAATTTTTTAGCCCACTGGTGTTGAACCTTATATCTGCAATCATTTCTCATACAGTTTCTGGAAGGAGCCCTCCAAGTCCACCTGCTCAGGCCAGATTCTGGGCTGTGGGTGGCTGAAAAACAATAATAATCACAGCTGACTTTTATTTCTTATGTGTTCTACCTCCCCCTTACCCTTTAGTATCACACTCTCCACTGGATTGATTTATTTGTTACTTTTCTCTTATTTGACCGAAAAGATTGTTTGTCTGGGATTTTTTTTTTAATTTGGCTATAATTTGAGCAATCAAGAAGGAATCAGGAAGAGATAAAAAAAAAAGGGGATTCAATGATTTTGTTGGTCAGCTCTAGATGTACAGTATTTACGTTAACACTTCTATACTAACAGAGTCATTAGACCAGGGGTGTCAAACTCATTTTCACCGGGGGCCACATCAGCAATACAGTTCCTGTTGAAGGGCTCCCCAACCCCCGGTTCGCGGACCAGTGCCAGTCCCAGGACCTATGGTCCAGGACCTACCAGTACCAGGACCTATGGTACCATGGTACCAGCCCGCAGTGGGACACAGTGAAAAAATGAAAAAAAATTCTAATTTACTTCATTCAAAAAAAAAAAGATTAATTTGACGATAATCTGACAATATTTTAAAATAAAAGTCATTCAGACTTTGATACAAACAATAGAGTCTGGTATAGATGTAGCTCCTCCATAACAGACTAATACATGTATCTGCAATTGATTATTATGTATAAAAGCTACAAATATTGTTCATTGCTGTGTAATAAAAAAAATCTTTTATTTTCATAGGTTGATAAACTCTGCTGCATGGACTTTATTAAATGCTTTTTAAGCTCCCGCGGGCCGCACAAAATGGCTTGGCGGGCCGCATTTGGCCCCCGGGCCTTGAGTTTGACCATTCATTGAGTAAATTCAAAGTCATTTGAGAAATCGAATGAAAAAAAATAATTGAAACAATTTAAATTCCAGGATCAAATGATAATGTTAATGTATAAGAATCTAGATATTCCGTGCTTTTTTTTTTTTTTTTCACAACCACAAAGCACCCAGCAACCTGATCACTGTCCCAAGATCAATGTTTGACCATCTGATCACAAGCTATTTTGTAATTAGTGACACATAGACATTAGTACAAATAGTGGGAAATGAGCCACTAAAAGTTAGTTCAAACTTCTATATGTTTTAGATGAGGTTTTATCGTTTGTCTTCATTAAAATAACTCCACTTACAAAGTAACCGCAGCATCATACAAACAGTATTTCTTCAGTTGTTTAGAACGGATCAGGGGGTACACAGTGTACACAACGGGGGTGTTCCTCTGCAGCCGTACTATATCTACAGTCAACTTTTATTTTACTCTTTACAAGTTTGTTCTGATTATTAAAGTTAAAGACAATTTAACTTAAAAAAATTTAACTATTAAAGTTAAAGACAAATTCTATACTTTTCAATTTCTAAAATAGTAAAACAGGATTTTTTTTCTCTGGAATGGCTCATTAATAAGTCCCATTGTAAACAAATGGTGTCGTTTTAATTTAATGTGTTATTGAATATTAATATTAATGTCAATGGAAAGTCCGCTTAAAATATGATATTATAATATGATATTTATATATTTCTTTCTGCATTTCCTTTTAAATTCTAATCTTTCATTTACTCCGTTTTATTTACATACATTTGGAGTGCTTTGGAGGGAGAATTAGTTTATCTTTATAGATTTTTTTTTTTTTTTTTTTGTCTTTGAGAGGCTGGAAAGACCGTGCTAATCTTTTACGTTTACCTGGTTTGAAAATGAAAGCATTAATGGGCACGTAACCGATCAAATCGGTGTCTATGGCCGTTTTTGCTTTTCGTTTACATTTGTTTGTCTGGTCACCAATTTGTTTGATACACGATCAAAAATTAAGATCAAGGGGGATGAGATGTGTTGATGTTGACTTCTGCGGGCCGCTAGCGTTGAATTATTCTCCGAGAATTTAATTTTAAAACAAGCATTTCTCGTCAGTTGCAAATTACTATGGAAATAATGGGGGTATGTTTTATTGATTGGATTTTTTACGAAAAAAAAAGATGCAGTCGAAAGGGCATCCATGAATCCTCTTCCAGCAGCAAAATGTTAATATGTTTTTGTATTATTATTATTATTATTATTATTATTATTTTTATTATTTGCCTTTTCTACTCCTCGTTTTTTCTTCCTTCTTCCACATCTGTGACCAGCATCCATCTGCCTTCCGTTGGCTTGATTCCAGTTTAGCATGTATGGTTTCCTCTAATTGATACATATGGCGTGGTCATGATGATTGTTCTTTTGCAATGGAATAGCCATATTGGCAGCAAGAATAAAGAGCTGATCAATTCATGAAGAAATTCAAGGAAAATGCCACATTAGAAGTTGGACTTAGAAGTTGTAATTACATTAGGGCAAGGTGCGACAGGTTTCACATCACAAACTGTGATTACGGCACGTTTAAAATGTCACATCTGCGGTTTTTGTATTGCGTTTTGAGCTTTTCTCATATTGTCTAATAATGTTTTTTTTTGCTCACCTTATCATCGCGTGTGCATGCCTTCTGCCATTATGACTGATTGCGGGGCTGATGGGGAAAAAAAAGGAAATCAGAGCAACATCTATTTCATCATCTATTTTGTCTGTCTCTCCCTCATTTCACTCACCTCTCTTTTGTTATTCTATGCAAAGTTTGAAAAAAAAAAAAAATTAGGGCAAATTCAGTCAGTCAGCTGCCATGGTATTTCTGTCATCATTTAAAGAAAACATCCTGAATGTTGCTTTAATGTTTTCACTATTCATTATTTCCTGCGTGGTTTTATTACTTATATTTGAAAATATTCCTCTTTGAATGATAAATTAAACGCTTGCTTTTTAAGTTAGTTTCACAGCAGCTTTCAGCTTCTTAGAGATAATAGAAAAACATATGTGCTGTTTCTCCCTACTTTTTTTTTGTAGGTTTTGTAGGGGGGTGGGGGGGCTTCCAATGGAATAGTAGGTTTTGTGGGGGGGGGTTCCAATGGAATATGACACGCTGGACATAAGTGTACCACTGCTGTAATGCTTGAATGATAAGAAGCCTTCAGTCACTAGGTGGCAGCAACACATCTCACAGTGGTTTGTACAGATGTAGTTCCCTTTTTTTTTAAACTGCAATTGCAACGAGAAATGTTACCTGCTCTTTAAGCCAGAGGTGGGGACTCGAGTCGCATGACTTGGACTCGAGTCAGACTCGAGTCATCAATTTGATGACTTTTGACTTGACTTGACAAAATGTAAAGAGACTTGCCGCTCGACTTGGGCTTTAACATCAGTGACTCGTGACTTCACTTGGACTCGAGCCCTTTGACTCGACAAGACTCGATACTTTCTTCCAAACCCAAAGTGATCTGTGTAAATATATTGTTATTTTGTTTGAAAAGGACTAGAAACGACTGGAAAACAGAAAAACGGCAGGACTTGGGACTTGACTTGACACTTTTCAGTCTTGACTTGGACTCGACTCGGACTTGACTTGAGACTTGAGTGCAAAGACTTGAGACTTACTTGAGACTTGCAAAGCAATGACTTGGTCCCACCTCTGCTTTAAGCACTCTTGCCGTTCAGTCGTTTAAACTTATGCCGTTGACCTATATGTGTTTTTCCTTTTTTTATGTATTCATGTTTTAAAAATGTATTGTACTTTGTGACATTCAACACTTTTAACATTTAGCGACTGTTGTCATTTTTCTGTAATGCACATTTATATGACAACACGTTACTTTTGTCTTATGGACTGCCATACTGAAGATTTGAAGATTTCATCTGTTTTTTTTTTTTTCACTGCTGCAACATGTGCATCAGTCATGCCACTAACTATGCCTCCTCTGTGCAGCTGAACCATCAAAACCGCTCTCTGAAGAGGAAAAGCATGATGCTTCTGTCACACCTCAGCCCAGACACCATTGCAGAGATCAATCTGGAAGATGAGGAGGAGGAAGAGAAGGAGGAAGATGGAAAAGACTCAGTCCCTAGCAGAAGTTGCCTCTCACCTTACTGCCATACAACTATCTCAGGTACATTACCTACCATGTTTCACAGTGTTCCTAATTTACCAATAAGTCTTCCTTTTCCGGACATATAGATTTACTACTCCAAATCGAGTCTTCTTTTTTTTTTGTTTCCATCCAAATAAATGCAGGATTTACAGGTCATCGCTCACATTTAAAAATACAAAAACATCATTCAATGTTTTTTGAACTGTAGGAAAAAAAGGTAAAGCTATGCTTCAACTCCCCATGACAATAGCTCATGTGTGCATGCATGTTCAGAGTGTCACACAGAGTGTCTCCTCCATGGATTCTGAGTACATTACAGGTGAGCTCCAGAAAGGTTTTGCCTTCTCACTCTTAATGTCTTCAGCAATTTACATTTAAATTGGGACTTTTGTTGAATAGCACGTGTGTCCTACTTATTTATCAGAGGTTATACCATACTTTGCTGAAAGAAATTTTAGGTGTCAGTGACCCCTTTTTTGCTTAAGTGCCTTCTTAAATGTCTTAGACTGGTCCTGCTGCGAGCAGCCCAGACATCCCCGTGTTTCAGACACCCAACACACAAGGCTGCAGAAAAATAATTTGTTTTTATGTAAAGACCCTGCTTCACCTAAATAAGAGGAGGAAATTTCACATCTTTTCACATACAGTGGAACCTTGAGATACGAGCAGACAATCCGTTCCAGGACCGAGCTCCTAACTCCAGGTGCTCGTATCTCGAATCATGGTTTTCCATCAGAAATAATAAAAATGAATCTGTTCCGGCCCTCTAAAAAGGGCAGTGGTGGCTTAGTGGTTAAGGAAGCGGACTTGGGTCCGGAAGGTTTCAGGTTCGAGTCCACCAGCTGCCAAGTTACCACTTTTGAGGTGCCCACTGTTCACTTTGGTGATGGGTCACATTTCATTGTGTGCAGTGGTGTGTGTCACAATGACAAGGAGTTCACTTTCCTTTCCTAAAAAACTCCCTTATAAGTGCTAATAACCAGAGGTGGGACCAAGTCCTTGCTTTGCAAGTCATAAGTAAGTCTTTGCACTCAAGTCCAAGTCAAGTCTCATGTCAAGACAGGCAAAGTCCGAGTCGAGTCCAAGTCAAGACTAAAAAGTGTCAAGTCAAGTCCCAAGTCCTGCCGTTTCTGTTTCGAGTCCTTTTAAACAAAATAATAATATATTTACACAGATCACTTTGGGTTTTGGAGAAAGTATCGAGTCTTGTCGAGTCAAAGGGGCTCGAGTCCAAGTGAAGTCACTAGTCAATGATGTTAAAGTCCAAGTCGAGTGGCAAGTCTCTTTACATTTTGTCAAGTCGAGTCTAAAGTCATCAAATTGATGACTCGAGTCTGACTCGAGTCCAAGTCACGTGACTCGAGTCCACACCTCTGCTACGGGCAACGGGAAAAAATGTTTTTATTGCTTTAGAGACATACACACACAAAAAAAATTAAACATAACTTTCATAAACTTGGAAATAACTTAACTTCACATACGTTGTTTTACTTTTCTATTTTTTATTATTTTTTCAATTCGTATTCTTTGTTTAGCGGGGCACCGCGCTCATATTTATTCATAAACTTAGAAATAATTTAACTTCACATACGTTGTTTTTTTTTACTTTTCTATTTTTGATTATTTTTTCAATTCGTATTCTTTCTTTAGCGGGGCACCGCGCTCATATTTATCGACAATTTCATGCTTTATTACCACGGTCGTCATGCCTTTCTTCTTCTCACTACCATCCTTACAACTCACTCTCTAAGGACTCATCACTATTATGAAGAATAATGCACAAATAGAGAGAAAATCACATACGAAAGAAATTTGCTCAAAGTCTTGCTCGTATCTCGGAATACTCGTATGTCGGGGCACTCCTATCTCGAGGTTCCGCTGTATATTAAAACACTTACTTTAAGTAGTAAAAAGTCATTGCTGTCACATTAACTTTAACTTTCTACAATTGTTCTGGTGTTGTCATTTTTTGTTGTTGTTGTTAACAGCTCAACATGTCGCCATAACAGCAAGGGCAATGGGGCGGCACGACCAAAACTATGCCCTGATCACTGTAATCAGCACAAGACTTTTGTTCAAATTGTTTTCAGAGCTAAACTGCAAGCTGGAGTTATTGCAAAAGGACAAGGATCAAGCAGTGGAAGATCTTCAGGCAGCCAGGCAACAACTGGGGGAAATAAATGAAGAGGTAAGTTTAAAAAGTGAAATAGTTTACTTCATCATCTAGCCACGTAGCCTGGTCATATAGAAAGTCGGTTAACATTTTTCCTACCAAGATTGTTGTGTTTGTAAAAAGTGTATTTACGGAGAAAAAAATATTAGATAATAGTCAATATTGTGTCGGTAAAGGGCAACTATGTCTGTGTGTTTTCCACCCTTCAAATATTAGATATTGTGTCGGTAAAGGCCAACTATGTCTGTGTGTTTTCCACCCTTCAGTTGCTGAAAGAGAAACACGATAACACCGTTTTAATTGCTGAGACGCTGCGTCAGAAGAAGCTGCTGGGGAAATATAACAGAGGTCGACTTTCATTTTCATTAGAATGATCCAAAGCAAGCAACAATAAAAAACAAGTTTGACTTTTTAAACGAAATGTTTGTTCAGTGTCTCAGCTGGCCGTCGAGGAGTACCAGGTCTTACAGACCACGCTGAGCCTGGAGCAGGATCTGAGAACAGAGGCTGAGAACTTTGGCAGAGCAGTGAGTTGTTTTTTTTCCCACTGATTCTGATTTCCATGTTAACCTTTTTTTTAAGTACAACGCCAAGTCCTTCAGCAGCGCTCTAAAGGGGTTAACGTGTTTTCTTTTGTCTTCCATAGATGTTGGTTGAGCAAAAGAAACTAAAAAGACAGAGTCAGATCCTCATGCAGAACTGTTCACCCTCACAAGCTCTGCAGGAAGCTCTCAGCCAGGTCACCAGTCTGACCCAGCAACTAGAATCACAGAGGCTACAGCACCAGAGCCAGGTTCCTTTCATTCATTTATTATCAATGAGTTGTGTTATAAACAAGGTTGTTGATCTTTCGTAAATAGTTTAGAGGCGAGTTCTGTTGTCACAGAGACAACCATTCCGCTCTGAACTCTCTCTGTCTGTGATCAGACCTGACTTCACGTGCCTCCTATTTAATATACCTATTGACTTGACACTTTTCAGTCTGGACTTGGACTCGACTCGGACTTCGCCTGTCTTGACTTGAGACTTGACTCGGACTTGAGTGCAAAGACTTGAGACTTACTCGTGACTTGCAAAGCAATGACTTGGTCCCACCTCTGTGTGTGGACTGGAGTCGCATGACTTGGACTCGAGTCAGACTCGAGTCATCAATTTGATGACTTTAGACTTGACTTGACAAAATGTAAAGAGACTTGCCGCTCGACTTGGACTTTAACATCAGTGACTCGTGACTTCACTTGGACTCGAGCCCTTTGACTCGACAAGACTCGATACTTTCTCCAAAACCCAAAGTGATCTGTGTAAATATATTGTTATTTTGTTTGAAAAGGACTCGAAAGGACTCGAAAACAGAAACGGCAGGACTTGGGACTTGACTTGACACTTTTCAGTCTTGACTTGGACTCGACTCAGACTTTGCCTGTCTTGACTTGAGACAGAAATGAATGAAAGTCACTCAGATTGACTTGATTAAAATCATAAAATAAAAGCCTGATTATATAACTTTTTTTTTTTTTGTCCTTGCCAGACTCATTTGTAATGTTTATTCTTGCTGTTTATTTTAGTTCATTGATAAAGAACAGGCAACTATTAAGGGAAACAGACAAGGTTGAAACACTTACTAATGAATAATTGATAATTAAGCATTTCAAATCAGACCGTGTTCGCTGCTTGAAGCAGTGACCTACATACAGTGTATTGAATTGCGTGGACGTGGATGTTATCATTTGAAAAGGAAATACTGCAATTTGGGATCTGTCTGTCCTCAGATGAAGAAGATGGAGGAGAGACTCCGCAGCTGTGACACTCAGAGAGAGTTGGCGGCTTTGAGGCGCAAACTTGAGCTCGTGGAGGAGGAGAAAAGGGAGTGCGGTGATAAATGCTCCAAGTCTGAAGTGGAGGTCAAGGATCTGCGGTTTACTGGTAATATATTGCGACTCTGTTTAGGGCGCTAAACTGAATGTCACAGAGACAAGCGAATTTTCGCTAACTAAAGAGGGGAAGGCCATGCATGTGTAGGCTACCACAAAGCAACAGGGACACATTTTAATGAAAATGTGACCATGGGATTCACTTTCTGTCTTTTGTCAGTGTGGAAGCCCATTAGCTGTTCTTCAGTCCTGAATATAATGGCTTTTCTGCTCTGTGTATTTACCACAACTGCATGGAATTGAATGGCCAGTGGAGGAGCTCCAGAAGAAGCTTAGGGGAGCTACAAATCCTCCTCCGACCCCAGCGCCGCCTCCTCCTCCTCCTCCCCCTCCGCCACCACCTCCAGCCCAGACTTCAGCGTCCAATCCGCTGAGGTCAGATCACACGCTCGCATGGATGACATAAATCAGAATCAGATACTCTACCAAGACGAGATATTTAATGTCCAAAACGGAGGTAGTACACAGCTATGTTTAATAATAATTTGAACCTTATTGAGCCCACTCTTGGGAAAATCTTGTGTGAACAGCCGATCTGCTGCAACAGGCTAGTACAGGAATGGGCAAACTATGGCCCTGGGGGGCCAGATCCGGCCCATTCAGCTTCTTAATCTGGCCCGCCAAACTATTTCAAATGATATAATTGATTTATATTATCATTATACTTCTGCCTTTTTTACTGCAATACCCACATTGCCCCAATAGATGGCGTCGAAAATAATATATATATATATATAGCCTTTATGCATGTCATTTATATATATATATATACATATATATATATATAAATGATTATTGAGTCTTACTTACATATATATTTAGGAATTATGACTCATATATTCAGACCTCTTTCCACAAACTGAGATCAAATCTTATATATATATATATATATATAGAGAGAGAGAGAGAGAGAGAGAGAGGTCTGAATGAGGTCTGAATACCTCTGGAAAGAGGTCTGAATATATGAGTCATAATTCCTAAATATATATGTAAGTCAAATCTTATATATATAT